TCCCCGACCGCCAGCCGCCGCCGGCCCGGGCCACCCTCCCCAGCCCGGTCGACTCCCCGCCCCACGCCGCCGCCTCCGCTGCCGGCGTCGCCGATGGCATCCTCGGGGCGGCCCGCGCCCTCGCCGCCAGGCCCGAGGCCTGGATTGACTTCCCCATGCTCGCGGTAGACGAGAGTAAGGCTCTCTCCCCTCCACTCTCGTGCGATTCGTTGCTGATTGTATTTGTTGCCGCCAATTTCGCCGGCTGACCGCTGATGAGCGGTTCTGTGCTATATATGGAAGTCAGTTAAGGGGAGATAGATTTAATGTTTGCTGGTTTGAGAGCCGTCGGATTTAGCACTGCGATTGCACTCCTGAAATTGGAAGGGATGGGGGCGAATTCCAATAAGGAATATCAGAGTCTAGTAGTGCTGCATAGTTCTGGTCTTCTCAGTGTAGTCGATGTAGAGTTACCATATTTTGTTTTCATGCGCTTTTTGCTAAGCTACTGCTTCTATGATCTGAATAGCTTAAGATTGACATGATGGCCATACCATACCTCTTGAAACTTAAGTATGTCCGTTAGTAGTACCGCCTTGAGTTGTTTCGCATGGCTCCTCGTTGGTAGAATCTTTTATCGATGTTGCTTTGCTGCGGTATGAAACTGTTCTTCACATTTAAATGCATAATGTTGTGGTTTCTACTACTTTGCAGATGCTACAATCTCTGATGTAGAGAGAGATCATATGGAAGTCATTGAAAAGCTTGTCCCAGATTTAGCATCTCTGCGGGCGACGCTCTGCCCTTCTTACATGGATGAAGATGCATTCTGGAAGATATACTTCAAACTACTTGAGTCAAGCCTAAGTGAACATACTTCAGAGGTGTGTTAGGACATATGATATTATGATTCTTATGCATTGTTCCCTGCTAATCTAATTTCTGTCGTGGAACTGATTTTTATGCTAATTTCAGTTCGAATTGTTTCTAGTTTTGAACTAAGAACATGTTGATGCATGGCCTGCAGTCAAATAGAGCTGGAAGTATGTTCAACCAGTTTTCCTTTTTTAGTTAACATATATATTTCCTATTATTGCTATTGTTGGCACTAGATGAACATATTTCTATGCATTTTTAAGCTGACATAAACAAGATTGGGTGTGTATTGATGACAGTGAATGCATCATTGCATCATATTTTGAGAAGAAAAATCTCCCATCTCATTCAGCAAATAAATACTAGTGTCGAAAACGCTCTTATATTATGGGACAGAGGGAGTAGAATTTATCCTGGGAATCAAATCAAAAGTGGTTACTGAATACTGACAATACGAGGTACTCCATGAACCACATATATAGTTTAGGTGCTAGCAGGATGGGTAATGTGTACTGAGGTTGCCAATTTGGAATCCCCTTCATTAATGAGACAGTGACGCTTACTAATCCGTAATCAATGCATGTATATTCAATACTTTTTATTTTGAATGCAATAGTTTTAAAACTTGGTATTGGTTTATTTTCCATATATAGGTGTACTACAACATTTTACCTGAACTATTTCTGTAATAATTGGTAACTAATAAATTAACTAGAACTTGTATTGGCTGCTGGTAGGCCTTGGATAGTTCACTCAAATGATGTCTTATTAGCCAGCACGAACTGTTATCTCTTCAGTAGCAGTGTGCCAGTGTAATCTGCATTAGTATTAGAGGTTCTCTTGAATGATGGGTGGTTTTATGCCATGTTTTTATCCTCTCGTGTCATTCTTCTCTTTGTTACCTTAGTGTTAGACTGAAGTGTTGAAGATGAAGAAACAATAATAATGTGCTGAGCTGTGTTTTTGGATATGCTAATTGCATTACTTACCAGTCTTATCAAATTATATTTTTCAGGAAGACACCCAGAATGTGCAAGTTTCTGTGCATCGCGTAAATGAGATAGAGTCTCCACCTCATGTCTGTGAGATAGAAAGCGAGAAAGGCACTCAAGAGGGTTACCAATCTTCAGGGAACCATGCTTTGACCAAAACACGATCCGAGCAAAGCATGGACCAGTGGGTGTTTGCAAAGTCAAAGTCGGAGCAGAGCATGGATCAGTGGTCCGAAATACCTTCAGACGTAGAATCCTTTAGAGAAGGTCATAAAAGGTACTTCAGCAGCGAGGCCGAGGAGATGAGCGACGTCGACAACTCCAATGTGCTCGTCATGGACAAATACATGGACTCGCTGCTGCCGGACCGGAGAAGCCTCCCGTACGCCAGCTCCTCCGTGAGAAGCGATTCGGTAAGAAGGAAGCCCGCCGCCTCCTCCCCCGACTACAGCCGCCGCCCTCCGCAGCCCACCGCGCCCGTGTCGCTGTCGAAGAAGGAATCATGGGATCTCATTCAGGATTCGGAGTTTGAGATACTCGACAGCTAGCAATAATAAGAGATCGTGGTTGATCTCCATGGCTTCGTTAATTTTCTTCATTGCCCTACTACCCTTCACCTGGTTTGTAAATGGCGGCCTTACAGGTGGTGCCAGTGATGGTTGGAAAAGATCTTGTCAGTCAGTCAGTAATAATATCGTGTGCATATATATGTCCTCTCATCCCACTTGCTGTAACATAAGGAATTTGTCATGGATCTGGCAAGTGTGAGGCCTGGATATTGGCCTCCCTGCTGCAGAAAATTCATGTTGCATACTGTTTTTCATGTTTGGGCCTTTTCTGGTCGGTTTGTGAGAATTCTTGAGTTCAGAAATAGGTAAACTGGGGAGAGTTGCTCATGTAGTTGGTTTGCAGTCGAGATTTTTCTTTATGACGTGTAAAAGAGGGCAGGGTGTTCGTGCTCTTTCATAACAAAAGAGAACCAACCCTTCCTATATATTTCCTCAAAAAGAAAAAAGAACCTTCCTATATAAGGAAATCGGGTAGAAAATCTGAGCCTGAAAGACAGCATCTAGACAAACTATGTGATGAAAACTGTGAAATTAGGCCAACTCCAACGCGCGGGCCATACGGATGCATTTTTTGTCCCTTTTTTTTCGTTTGGGTGGCCAGTCGAGTCTATCCTTTTTTTAGTAGGGGGAGCGGTGAGCCCAACGTGGCCGGCGCATCCCAAATTTGCGGATGTAAAAAAAACTAAGTCTAAAAAGGCAATAATATACTATAAACTTACTATTTAAAATGTTGGCCAAAGTCCACTTACATTAATAATAACTCAAACTAAAAACATAATACATTAAAAAAAGGGTCAATGCAGGTGCTGGCAGATCTAGGGCATCGCATCTAGGCTTCATCGTTCTTGTCCTCGTTTGTGAGGTCGACGTACTCCTGCACTCGCGCCCATGGGAATGCTTGCCGATAGGCAGTGATCGGTCGCGTCGGGTGCCTGCTATTGCAGCAGGACCATCGCATGCTGGGCCGCCTCCTCCTCGAACTCGCGCCGCTCTGCCGCCAGCACCCGCGCCCGCGCCTCCCACCTTAGGAGGCGCTGGCGCTCCTCCTTCGTCGCGCCCGCAGTCACGACACGTAGACCGACACATTGGCCGTCCACCGGTACGTGGGTACCCATGTCAGCTCTTCAGTCGCGGGTGGTGGTGGTGGCGGCGGCGTGTAAGCCTCCACGCCTGGCACGGGTGGTGGTGACGGCGGCAACGCGTTGCCTTCACGCTGGCCGCACTTCTCGGCCAGTGCCTGCGCGAGTCCAGGCCACCCGCGCTTCCTCCTAGAGCGTGGAATCCTTGGACTGTCGCCGGTTGGCCTTCTTGAGGGCGGCCAAGTAGGCGCCCTCCTCCTCCTTCACCACCACCAGTGGCCGTGGAGCAGCTGGTGCAACGGGTGGACCCAATCCCACACGCCGGCGGGTCTCGTGTTCACTTGCGAACCACGCATCCCACTACGAGGAGTCCACCGCGTAGTCGGAGTGGGCGCGCAACTCCGGATCTAGGGCAGCACATAGGCGATAAATCTCCTCTATCCACTTGCCAGCCGACTGTGGCACCGCCGGCACTGGCACCCTGTCAGGGTTTAAGTGCCAGCCGTGCGGCAAGTTCACATCCGATCACGACGTCAGGATGTGGTGCTGCCAGTGGCAGCGGCACCAATGGACGGGGGATACACCTGCCACACGCGTGTGTGTTGAGGCTGGGCGATGGTGAAGTTGGATGCTCACGCTCCCGACTAGGACGACACCTTGGGGTCGGGCTTGCCAACGCGGCTGAGCTTCTGAAGAAACACATGGGCAGCTAGGGCTTGCTTCTTGTCTCGAGGCGAACGCCCGTGTGAACTCGAATCTGGTGTAAATTTAAGCCGGAAATGCGTCGAGACAGAGACACCGAGGGGACGCAAACTGGGGATGCGTCGGCGTATTGGGCCAGCATTTCTGTCCGTTTCGGCCCCAACGAACCGCACCAAATGCGTCGGCGTCTTGGAGTTGGCCTTACATACACTTTAACGACCCAGCCCAGGACACAAAAAAACTCAAATAAGTAAGTCATGGAGTGAGAACTGAGCGTAACTCAGTTGGCAAGACGTGAGAGTTAACAGGCAGCCCACTAGGGTTCAAGTCTTGGGTCTTGGCTTGAGCGTTTGGTGCTCACGGAGTTTTCTTCTATAAAAAAAATGCCAACAGGCTAGTCTAGTCCGGATTGGTCTCGTTTTTTTAAGTAAGTGATGGAGTAGATTTGACTGCAAATGTTTGACCGAGAATAATATCTCTAACAATTTATACCAGATAATAAGATCTCGATGAACGAAAGTGCGAAATGCAGATAGCAACAGACAATCCATGGGGAAGAGATCTTAGCAGCGCATCCCAAAAACATGAAGATCGATCGTCGGGCGGGCATGGCAATCAGGCGGTCGCCGCCGCTACGGCCTACGGGGGAGCGTGGAGCGGCACGACGAGCTGCTCCGGGTCGAGGTTCGGGTAGCGCCGAAGCGCGGCGCGCTTCATGTCCTCCATGCCGCGCTCGTACCCCCGCCGCTCCCGTTCCGCCAGCGCGCGCGCGTGCTCGCTCTTCACTCCTCCATGCCGCGCTCGTACCCCCGCCGCTCCAGCTCCGCCAGAGCGCGCGCGTGCTCCCTGCTCGACCCCCGCGCCGCCAGCTCGGCCTTCGCCTCGCGCAGCTCCACCCGCAGCGCGTCCGGCTCGCGCTCGCGCGCCCTCAGCTTCCCCTCCAGCTCCAGAGCGTGGCCCAGCGAGAATGACACCTCGCTCGCCGCCTGCGCATCATTGCCATGTCGATCGATCCAGAACAACGAAGCATGCAGGAACAATCTCCATAGAACAGGAGCTAATCTGACTTTGCATCGGCGCGTGCTCACCTGGAGCAGTGACACGTAGCTTGAGGCGACGACGTCGGCGGGCTTGGACGCGGCGAGCTCGCGCTCCCGCGACGGCGTGACGGTGCCCTGCAGCAGCCGCCTCGCCGCCTTCCAGTCACCGTCTTTGCCTGTCGCGGACGGCGGCTTGCAGGGGCCGGGGAAGCCCGGCGGCCCAGAGGGCTCCGAGGCCGAGCTCTCGCCGTCGACCGCACGGTCAACCGCCACCTTCCTTTTCTTCCCAAACGACGGCGCGCAAGGCAGCACCTCGCAGTCCGTGTCCGGCTCGCTCTTCGCCGCCACCTTCCCCGCCGACACGCGCGCGGCCGTGGCTGCCTTCTCTGTCACAAGTACGCAAGGGATTGCAAATCACGGATCAGTACAATGCACGGCAACGTTCTGAATTCTATAATGCCGGAGGGGTTGACGTTCACGGTTCAGCGGAGACAGGGAGGGGCGAGCAGGGGTCAGACCCCTGCCAATCGCTCGCCCCCCTCAACGATTTGCAGCAGGTAGTGCGTATTACATGCCTAACAGCCGCAGCTAAATACATAATTAGCCCATTTCTTTTTTAGCGTAACATAAGCCCATATATAAACAATTAACTGGACCAGCACCAAAGCAGAGAAGCCCATCCAATAATGCATGTACGACGGTGGCTGGCTATCAAAAAACATTTTACATTATGGAACGGAGGAAGTATTGTTTTACCACGGCCCAGTGCCTAATCCATCATTACGTACATGCGTGTTCTGCACTTCTGCTAGGTCGTTCTTCGCCGCTGCCGCTTGCCGTCAGCGTGTCCTGCTAGGGTCTAGGGTGTTTGTCATTGCCGCTGGCCGCTACTCGACATGACAACAACACCGGCCACCAAATATGGCTAGATCTCGGGTGAGTAGAATAGATTAAGCTATATTACACTGATAGTAATTATTACTCTCTGTTTTATAATAATTATAGTTCTACGTTTGTCCTAAGTAAAACCAATTTAAGTTTAATCATGTTTATAGAAAAATATGGTAAGATCTACAAATTAAATATACATAGTGTGCATATTTTTCTAAAAGATTCTAATAAAACTATGATGTTTCAAATATTGATATATTTTTCTACAAACTTGATAAAACTTGAAGAAGTTTAACTTAGAACAAACTTAGAGCTTCAATTATTTTAAAACCGAGGGAGTGGAATTTTTTGATAAATTACGACCTTAATCTGCTTAATTAATGTTTCTTATAAAAAGTAAATTAGTCTAGTAATTATGTGAATATTTGTACTAGTCAAAGATGGAGCGGAAGACATCAACAACAAATGGGGTAAATTCTTTTTCAAACCAATTGGTTCAACTTCAAGCTCCAATATTATTACTAATAATAATATATTTTACATTTCCAAACAATAATTTTATGTATTATCATCAATGCTATCATGAGACTTAGTATATTGTGATATTCCGTCGTTTGCGTCATCAATGCTGTCTCGCCCCCCTCATGTTTAAATCCTGGCTCCGCCCCTGCCGGTTCACCTCGAGGAGTTGGCTGCGGCGCAGATGGTGCCCCAATGATCTTGGCTGCGGCAAGGTTGTCGTTGCGGAGATATGTGGTGAGATCAATCGGAGAACTCCCTCGAGCACGCTGCAGCTTCTTCGCCATGGCCTTCTCCTTGCCGGTCAGCGACTGATCCAAGGTGGAGGACCCGGAAGGTTCCCCCCACTCCACCGGGCACGGCCACGGCGCCGACGACACCAAGAAGAAGAAATCCTCCTTCCAACACCGGGCAAATCTGTTGCGCATCCGGGCGAAGAGCAGGCCGTGGTTGTCCTTGCCGCGGAAGCTGTAGAACCTGTGCGGCGGGAACGGGCACAACGCGAAGAAGTGCCGGAACACGGCCAGCGACGGCTCCACACCGGCAAAGTGGGATAGCATGACGAAGCCCGCCAGGACGCGCCAGCCGTTGGGCAAGAGCTGGATCGGGGCGAGCCCGAAGTGGTTGAGTACCGTGCCGAAGAAGGGGTGGAGGGGCAGGCGCATACCGAGAGCGAGTCGACGTACACGCAGACATATCCGGGCGGCGGCGGCGACCATGAGGAGAGGTTGCCGGCGAGGATTGGGGT